TTGGTTGCAGCCATCATTGTTGTTTGGCGGGCCCAGGCTGGGGATTTGAACCCGCCACCTTAGGTATATGTGGCTGGCGCCTTAGCTGCTTGAGCCACAGGCACCAAGCCAGAATGGTATATTTGTTATACTGAAAAACCTACAGTGATACTTCATTATCACCTATAGTCTGTAATTTACTCACTCTTGGATTTTGACAAGTGTATAATCGCACATATCCACCATTGTGGTATCATACAGAAGAGTTTCACTGTCCAGAACTCCACTGTGCTCTGTCTATTCTTCCCTTCCCTCCTAATCTCTGACAACCACTGATCTTCATATAGTTTTGCCTTTTTCAGGATATTGTTTGGAATCATTCATTATATAGCCACTTTATATTAACTTCTTTTCCTTTAATTGTACACATTTATGTTTCCTCATGTCATCTCATGGCTTAATAACTCATTTCTATCTTTTTTTAATTATAAAAACCACATAACATAAAATTTATCCTCTTTTTTTAAGTGTACAGTTCAGTAGTGCTAACTATATGTATAGTGTTGTATGCCAGATCTCTAGAACTTTTTCATATTGTAAAACTATCCTAATAGAATAACTACTCCTCATTTCCCGCTACCCCCAACTCCCTAGAAACCACCATTCTACTTCCTGTTTTCATGATTTGACTACCCTAAATATCTCATATAAGTGGAAAAATGCAGTATTTGTATTTTTGTGCCTGACTTCTTTCACACAACAAAATGGCCTCAAGCTTCATCCGTGTTGTAGTATGTCTGATATCAGGATTTCCTGTTTAAGGCTAAATAATATCCCATTATATGTATATACCACTTTTTTTTATCCATATATCTCTCAGTGTACATTTGGGTTGCTCTCACCGCTTGGCTATTGTGAATAATGTTTCAGTGAACATGGGTGTGCAAATATCTTTTAATTCTTTTGGTTTCAGAAGTGGGAGAAGGCTTTAGAAACTTTGGATATTAGATTTCCTGGTCTAAAATATGTTCTTTATCCCTCCCACTTTGTACAATCTCATCCTGCTCAAATTTTTTTTACTATACTTGACATTATATATTTATATGTCCAGCTGTCTTGGTAGATTGTTAATTGCATGAGAATAAGAACTTCATTTTATTCACTATATTTTTACAACTCAGATTAGTACTTGGAACATCATAGGTAAATGGTAAAATTTTGTTGAAGACATGAAAAAGTAAATGTGCTTGCACTCAAATCTTTTGTTCTGGCTTGGCATCTGTGGCTCAAGTAGCTAAGGCGCCAGCCACATACACCTGAGCTGGTGGTTTCGAATCCAGCCCAGGCCCACCAAACAACAATGTTGGCCGCAGCCAAAAAATAGCTGGGCGTTGTGGGGGTGCCTGTAGTCTCAGCTACTTGGGAGGCAGAGGCAGGAGAATTGCTTGAGCCTAGGAGTTGGAGGTTGCTATGAGCTATGATGCCATGGCACTCTACCCAAGGTGACAGCTTGAGGCTCTGTCTCAAAAAAAAAAATCTTTTGTTCTTGTTTGGACTTTTGTGAAATATACCTTTTTCCTTTCTATTTTCAGAATATGAGTGATGCTATGGCAGTTTTGCACAAACTACAGACAGGCCTGGATGTAAATGTAAAATTCACTGGTGTCCGAGTGTTTGAATATACACCAGAGTGCATAGTATTTGATCTGCTTGATATTCCTTTGTACCATGGGTGGTTAGTAGATCCTCAGGTGAGTAGAATTTAAATTTTTTAAACACAAATACAGGAAAAATTTGTTAATTTATCAAATTAATCTAAATGTATACTTTCTGTTACTTAATATTTTTGTGTGCTCTCCTGAAATTAACCAAACTATGAGGTTAAGGGCATAGTATTCCAGACTGCCAAGTCTGCCCAATACTCCTGACCCCAGCTTTAAGGAGTTAGTGTCCAACTACAAAGTCAGAACAAAAAATTGACACAAGACCACTCTCACTTTTCACAGTTTAGGAGTTTCCTAAAACTACCCTGATACAATAGACTAGAATGACACACAGAACTCAGTGAAATGCACTGTTAAATGCACCAGTATACAGTAGGAGCTCTATATGTTGACCACCCAAGCAGCTATAACAAATTGATCAACATACAGAGGTGATCAGGATAAGGAACCAGGCCTACTATACTGATATGTACATGTGGTGCATGTCCAGTCGGTGCAAATTAGGTCAACTTCACCAGGTGGTCGATGTAGAGAGGTGGTCAACTATGGAGGTTCTACTATATAATTCATAGCTGGGCAAAAATACAGACTGAAATTAGCCGACTAAAGAAGGCAGAGTCTAGGAGCAAAGCTTTACTCAGGACATGTTACTCTTCCGGAATTGATGTATGACATTTGCATAGAGTGTTGCCAATCCTGGAAGCTCACCCTGTTTTCAGGGTTCAGATTTTTTTTTAATCTAGGTTTCTTTTATGCAGATATTCTTGAGTGATTGATTAATCCTCCATGTAATCAGAAGCTCAGTCTTCAGCCCTTCCATCTTTGAAAGCTAGGCTGACTCGTGTGGTTCAGGGACCCACCCTGAATCACCTTGTTAATATATAGGTGTGATCCAAGGGACCCACCATAAATAACAGTCTCTCCTATTGCTAGGAAAATGGCAAGGTTTAAAGGTTATCTTACTTAGGAAGTTGTGTATATCAATAGTTTAGCCCTTTAACTACTAAGTAATATTCCATGGCATTGGTATACTGTAGTTCTACCTATTAAAGAACATCTGGGCTTTTTAAAATTCCTAGCCATTAAGGATAAAGCTGCTGCAAATACTTATGTACAGGTTTTTGCTTGTATTTCTCTGGATTATATGCCTAGAAATACAATTGCTGGATTGTATGGTAGTATGGCAGTTGCTTGTATATGATTTCTTTCTTTCTATTTTTTTTAAGAAATAAAGTCTCACTCTGTTACCTAGGTCAGATTGCACTGGTGCTGTCATAGCTCACTCCACCTCCCACTTCATTCTCTCAAGTAGCTAGGACTACATGCACATGCCACCACACATGACTAATTTTTTAAAAAAAGTTTTTGTGGAAGGCCGAGTGTGGTGGCTTATGCCTATAATCCTAACACTCTGGGAGGCCAAGGTGGGTGTATTGCCTGAGCTCACGGGTTCAAGACCAACCTGAGCCAGAGCAAGACCCCCATCTCTAAAAAGTAGCCAGGCATTGTGATGGGCACCTATAGTCCCAGATACTCAAGAGGCTGAGGCAAGAGAATCACTTGAACCCAAGAATTTGAGATTGCTGTGAGCTGTGATACCACAGCACTTCACTGAGGGTGACAAAATGAGATTCTGTCTTAAAAAAAAAAGAACAACCTGGGAAACATAGCAAGCTGCCATCTCTACACACACAAAAATTTTTTATAATATTTACTTGTAGTTTTAATTTGCATTTTGTTAATGGCTAATGCTCTTGGACATCTGTCTTTTCGTGTGCTTGTTTGCTATTTGTATGTCCTCTTTAGAAAATGTCACTTCATGTCTTTTGCTTATTTTTTAAGTAGATTAAGTTTTAGAGTTGAATTTTGGGAATTCTTTATATATTCTAGACACTAATTCTTTTTTTTCCTTGTGAGGTATGTATTTTACCAATATTTCCTCTCAGTCTCTAGCTTGTTTTTTTTTTGTTTGTTTGAGATAGACTCTCACTATGTCACCCTAGGCGGTGCTGTGGCATCACAGCTCACAGCAACCTCAAACTCTTGGACTTAAGTGATTCTCTT